GCATTGTTACATGACCTCCGTCACGAGGTCACGAAGAAATAAGGAGGTAGTCCCATCACCAGAGTCACCCCACCCAGAGACCCCGAATACCCAACAGGTAATGGGTGTAGAGCTACCAGATAACAGACCAAAGGATGAACCAAGAGCCACCCCGGTCGAGGAGGTCGAAGAGGTACAACTTGATGATAATGACCCATCCAAGAAGACTCAGATCGGCACGAAGCTGACTCCCATAGAAAAAGAAGAGCTCGTGGGCTTTCTAAAAGCAAACAAGGATGTGTTTGCATGGACCTCGGCTGACATGCCTGGAATCCCAACTTCGGTGGCAGTACACAAACTCAACACTAATCCTTTGAGGAAGCCAGTGGCACAGAAGAGATGGCTTTTCGGGGGGGAAAGACTCACAGCCATTAAGGAGGAAGTGAAGAAGCTCTTGCAAGCAGGGTTTATCAGGAGAGTAGATTACTGCGAATGGATTGCCAACCCTGTCATGGTAAAAAAGTCAAACGGCAAGTGGCGCATGTGCATCGATTATACCAACCTCAACGACGCCCGCCCTAAAGACTGTCATCCCATGCCTAGCATAGACAAGCTGGTAGAGGTCGCCTCAAGGAATGAGAGGTTAAGCCTCTTGGATGCTTACTCGGGGTATCATCAAGTCCGCATGGCACCCAAGGACGAGGTGAAAACCTCATTTTATGCCGGAGATGAAATATACTGCTATGTGATGATGCCGTTTGGGCTAAAAAATGCAGGAGCAACATACCAGAAAATGGTCACAATCGTGTTTCGGGCTCAAATTGGCAGAAACCTAGAGGTCTATGTAGATGACATTGTTGTCAAAAGTTCTCGAGCAGAAGACCACTTGACTGACCTGGCTGAGACGTTCAACAACCTTAAAAGGTGCAGCATGAAGTTGAACCCAGCAAAGTGCACTTTCGGTGTTAAACCAGGTAAGTTTCTGGGTTTCATGGTTTCTAGAAAGGGGATAGAGGTCAACCCTGAGAAGATAAAGGCAATAGAAGAAATGAAACCGCCGAGGTCAACCAAGGACGTGCAACGTCTAACAGGGAGAGTAGCAGCACTGCACAGATTTATCTCCAAATCAGCAGATAAGTGCCTGCCTTTCTTTAAGGTCTTGAGAACTGCAGCTTAGAAGGATGAAACGGGAAAACACCAGAAGTTCAACTGGACGACGGAGTGCTAGGTGGCTTTTGACGAGCTCAAAGCCTACCTCAGCTCGCCGCCTCTGCTGACTAAGGCTCAGGAAGGTGAAATCCTTTATCTTTACCTCGGAATATATGATACTGCTGTCAGTTCTGTCTTGGTCAGGGAAATGGGGAAACAACAGCAACTAGTATACTATGCCAGTAAGGTGCTGTAGGGAGCTGAGCAGAGGTACTCAATAGTAGAAAAGGCAGCCCTAGCAGTTGTTGTTACTGCAAGGAAGTTGAGGCCATATTTCCAATCCCATCATATTATTGTGATGACTGATCAGCCTTTAAGACAGATTTTGCAGAAACCAGAATGCTCCAAGAGACTCATCAAATGGGCAGTAGAGCTGGGAGAGTTTCAGATAGCATTCTAGCAGAGGTCGGCAATCCGAGCTCAAGCTTTGGCAGATTTCGTGGTCGAATGCACTTCTAATCAGGTGGAACCAAATTCTGGGGCAGAAACATGGACCCTGTATATCGATGGATCATCTAATAACAAGGGTTCAGAAGCTGGAGCAGTATTAACTGGACCTGACAGCTTCCGGAGTGAACACGCTTTGAAGTTCAACTTCCAGGCCACAAACAACGTGGCCGAGTACGAAGCCCTCCTCCTGGGATTGCGTTTAGCGGCCGAGCTCAAAGTCAAACGCTTGCAGATTTACAGTGACTCATAGCTGGTAGTTAACCAAATCAATTCTATGTGCGAAGTCATTGATCCCATCCTAGCGAGATATGTGGCCGCAGTCTCTGAGCTGAAGAACCGTTTCGAGAAATTCCAGCTTACAAAAATTCCGAGAACAGAAAATGAGCATGCAAATTCTTTGTCGAAATTAGCATCTGAGAACCCCGGGGAAGCACAGTCTGTGTACATCGAGATACTGAATGAACCGAGCTTTCAGACGTCGAGAGTGATGGAGATCAGCACTGACCCAGATGCTCCGAATTGGACAGACCCTATCCGGGAGTACCTCCTCGATGGTACCGTCCCAGGGGACAAACAGGAAAAGATGAAGTTGCAAAGAAAAGCCTCTCGGTACACCTTAGTTGGCGACGTTCTGTACAAGAGATCCTACTCGTTACCACTCCTCAGATGCCTGACACCATATGAAGCAGAGTATGCACTAAGAGAAGTACACGAGGGGGTATGCGGTAGTCACGTGGGAGCCCAGACTCTGGCACATAAGGTACTTCGGCAAGGGTACTATTGGCCTAACATGCAAGAAGATGCAAAGAAATTCGTGCAGAGGTGCCAGAAATGCCAGTTCTTCGCCCATCTCACCCATCAGCCAGCCGAAGAACTCACTAGCATGACTGCACCATGGCCTTTTGCTCAATGGGGAGTAGACCTTCTGGGCCCCTATGTCAAAGCAGTAGGAGGAGCAACACATTTAGTGGTCGTTGTTAATTACTTTACCAAATGGGTAGAAGCCAAACCTCTCTCTTATCTGACTTCGAGAAGAATCGAGGATTTCCTCTTCAGCTCGGTCATCTGCAAATATGGGATACCAAACCAAATTATCGCTGACAACAGCCCCCAGTTCAATTGTAACTCCTTCAGGGACTTCTGCTCCAGCTACGGGATTAAGTTGGTGTTCACCTCCGTCTATCATCCCGAGGCCAATGGAATGGTTGAATCAGTCAACAAAGCCATCTTGGAAGGAATCAAGCCGAGGTTAGATCAGCTGAAAACAAAGTGGGTAGATGAACTCAACAACGTCCTGTGGGCTTACCAGACAACAAGCCGAACTGCCACAGGTATGGCCCTCACTTTGATTCTCTTTTCTATTACCTTATTTACAGTTACAGACTACCCTTTAAAGTAAATCCTAAATTTAGTCTCCTGCAAATAGGTGAAACGCCCTACCACTTAGCCTTCGGCACCGAGGCAATCATTCCTGTCGAAATTGGTGTCCCAAGCCTAAGAATCAGTCACTTTGAACCAGCTCAAAATGAGCGTCTACTAAGGGAAAACCTTAATTTCCTAGACGAAGTTCGAGAGCAATCCCAACTTCGGACTCTAGCATACAAACAAAGAATAGCCAACCTTTACAATAAGCGAGTCCGACCTCGAAACTTCAGAGTCGGTGACCTCGTCCTCAGAAAAGCTGGGCTCACAGGGTTCGAGACCCGATATGGCAAGCTAGCACCAAATTGGGAAGGCCCTTATATTGTAACTGAGGTCCCGCACCCCGGAGCATACATTCTCCAAGATGCCGAGGGTAAAAGGGTGCCTAGAGTTTGGAACGTCAATAATCTTAAAAAATTCCATCCTTGAAAGTTCCTTTCGTTATTCTGAGTTAGGCATCTTTTTGTAAATAACATCCCAGTACAATTGAAGACGACGTCAATTAAGGACGAAGTCAATTCCACTTCTTCAAACTTAATT